CAAGTTTCTCAATCAATATTCTTCATGAACAAATGCAGTACACACATTACCATCCTGAGGATATATGTGTGAAGTATATATACACACGCACACACCCACACATACCTACAGTAACCTGCCCTCTCCATGGAATTTGTGGATAAATCCAAATCTGGGTTAAACTAGGAGAGAGCAGTATAAACACGTGATTTCTGAAACTTACACAAAATCTGTCTTTATTATCACTTAAAGGAATGAGGATAAATATAATGAGAATAATAACTTGAGAGATCAAAAAAATTACGTAGTATGAAATGGATCTGTTCTCTGGTACCTTCATCTTTTGAACTGTGTCTTAATCATAGACAGTTTTAAAATACTTACAAAGATACTGCAATTGCCTCCTGACTTTGTCTCTTATCCCATTCCAATCTATTCTCATCACTGTGGGCAGGAAATTTCTTTCTAAAATTAAACCAAATCCAGTTCCCTGAACGTCTAAAACCTTTCAATGGCTTTCCATGAGTATTTAAGGAGAAAGTAATATGGCTTAGTGGGCCCCTTGTTTTTCTGGCATTTGCCTGACTTATAGACTCATTTCTTGTCCTCCCTTTTCTAAAATCCTGCAAACAAATTATACTGAAATACTTGCTTCCTTGCAATCATATTAGTATTTTTAACTTTCTAGAATGGCCACCTCCACACAGCCAGCCCCCTAGAGGGGATTTGACCTAGTTAACTTCTACTCATATTTCCAGAATTGGTTCAGGTCTCATCTTCTTTAAGAAGGTCAACCTGATACTCCAGGATAAATTAAGTGTTCCCACTTGGAACTTCATTATTATAAGTTACCGCTCAAACGTTTACTGATGAATGAAAGATCCAAATGCATACTCCTCTACTATAGAGAATATAGTGACAAGATTCTTCTTATGCACTAATGATCAGATCCTATTGGGTGAATGGGCACTGACAATAGAAAAATGACTTTAATCTCAACAATTCTTAGGAAAGATGATTTACAATTTAATATCTCAATATTAAACCTTCATGGAAAAAGTTAATTTTTATGCATAAAAATACCATATATCATGCCAATTTATATATAAAAGTTTTTGGTACTAGTATTTCTGAGATAATTCATTGCTCAAGTTCTGATTTCCCATGCAAGTATTACTGATATTATTCTACTATAATAGCTCATGAGAGTTGACTCCCAATTTTCAGAACTGAAAGTATTATAGCCAAGCTTTCTGTAGAAATTTGCAGCTTAATTACTCATTCATTTGTGTCCTAAAAGGAGTACAAAATTGCTTTGAAGAAAAAATAAGGCCTTCCCTGAAGATAAATGGATGATTTATTGAGGTGACCATTCACACGTGAGTGTTGTTTGGGCTATCTCTGATTTTACTAAATTATTTTATTAATGAATCTTTATTCATTTTTCTGCATTTGTCTTAAATTATTCTGAATCCAGAATTAATTCATTTTTATTCAAATTGCTTGGGTTATGATTACTATTTATTAATAACTTCAGCAGCTTATGGCTGGGTCTAAGAGATGTTTACATTCAGACAAAGTAGAAAGTGCCACATGACAAGGTAGAAGCTAATAAAGCAATGAGGGAGTTTGTAGAATTTGGTCTTTCTTTTTAACCACCGTTGGCATTTCAATCTTCAGAAGGCTAACAGAAAAACATGTCAGCCATAGTGTAGGCATACTAAAATGAGTAAAAGATGTAATAAATTAAGAGAATCAATCATTCAACAAATATTTATTTGGAACTCACAGTCTGCCAGGCATCATATAAGTTTCAGTGTGCTATAGGCCATTTTAGAGGGAATAGGAAGGGGTGGGGAGAGTATTAATAGTTTGCATCAAGTCTTTTAATGCTAAGATTATTAAAATTTAGATTTTTCCATCACATAAGAGTTTTAAAATTTCAGTCTAGTTTCCCGAGTCCTAACTAAGCTGATTAGATTATTCTGTTTTCTTTTATATTTCAATATGGAAGTGTTCATCGAGTTGTTAGTTAAAAATTCTACATACTTCTCTTTCTGTCTAAAAATCTCATTTGTTCATTATTTCTTTTTCTAATGAGGCTGGATATTTCAGTATGTCATTTTTTTTAACATGTTGACAATTGCTAACATTTACTGAGTATTTACCATGTTCTAAGTACTAAATATTTTAAGAGCGAATCCTGCATAAAACGCGATATTTGGATTTGGATGATGTCTTATGACCGGATGTGAGAAGTCTGAAAAAAATCTAAGAAACTCTAGATGTCACTCAAGACATAACTGAGCTGCAGCCTCTGCCTCAATCTTCTATAGTCAGAAAAGAAATCCATACTTCTCAGCTGCTTTTAACTGGGATTCTATTTTTCATACTGAAAGCTTCATATTGACTTAGGAATATTAAAGGAAGACAGAGTCTGAGAGGATGGATTACGTGAGTGAAAGTCAGGGGCAGGATAATATGGTGTAATAGGCCCAGGAGATGTGGACATGAAACGCAGAGCATTTGGTGGAGGAGAAATATTACTTGGAGCATCTCAAGATGCATCTGGAACCAGATATAGGGAGTATTTCTGTTGTAGAGTTGCCTGCAGCTTTCCTTGGCAGTGATAGCTGAGTCGAGCAATGGTTGACATCACTAGGAGTAAGTAATGCAAAGAACAATGGGGAACATCTGCATATGGGTGTAGAAAGGATTTTACTTAAACAATAATGAACATAGAGAAATATGAGAAGTAAGGCAGAGCTCACAAAAGATGGGTTGGACAGAAATATAAATTATACACTTTAAAGACGAAATGAAACCACCTTCAAACTGATGTCTCTTGCCACTTGCTGGACTGCCTTGTGATACAGTTCTCTAATCTGACCTTATGTTTAATTTCCTTGGCCTCCCCTCTTGCTACATCTCAGGCTTTGTCCTCAGTTAAGGAAAGCTTCAGCATCTTCAATTCGTTATGGGATCAAGGTCACACTATCAGTTGTTCTTTTCACTAATTCATTCATTTTTCTTTGATGACACTGGAAATGCAGTATTTTTTTTCTTTCCTTCAACTCAATTTCTATACCACTTGCAACAAATCAGGAAAGACAGATATTCCAATAGAAAATGGGCAAGATACTTGAACAGCATTTCATAAAAGAGATCCAGAAAGCCAATATATTTTGAAAATTCTCAACCTTATCATAATCAAGGAATTGCAAACTAAACTCCCATACATTACTCTACAACTAATCAGAATAACTAAAATTATACACTGACAATAGTACTATTGGTAAGGATATAGAGCAAAAGAAAGTCTCATATATGCTGTAAGAGTGTAAGCCAATTGATACAGCCTTTTTAGAAAATTGGCAGTATTGATTAGGAATGATATATGCATACCTGATGAGACAGGAATTCTACTTTGGATTGGAGCTGTTCATTCCTATTTCATTTATTTGATTGAGAGTTCCATGAGAATTTGACCTGGTAGGCACTTACATTTTTTAAGTGAGAAGAAGCTTGCAAAACACTTAAACGAATGGTTTTAGCCAATTAAGTAGTTAATATAAGAGTTACATATAAAACCTAGATAAACAATTTTGTTTTGCTTTTCATGGGAAATAAAAGAAAGCTTATATCTGAGCCACTTCATAACTTTGTATTCATTGAGGACATAGAATGGGAAGAAACAGGATTTAACAGTGAATGTGTGCAGTCATTATGTTTTATACTCTTCATACTCACAATGAATTTATGAGGTGAGGTGGCTACTACCCAAATTAGCACTTTTGAAACAAAGAGGCAAAAAGTCAAGTGACTTGCCCAAGATTACATAACAATTAAATGACCTGGCCAAGACTTGAACCTCAGACTGCGTGATTCCAAAACCTGTGGTCTTTCTTGTCTATCTTCCTATCTCGTTATCTAGGAAGGTTAATGAGACATGCCTGTGTACGAAGGGGACAGGGACTGCTGATTCCTTGCATAACACTTTAAAATGTGATTTTTTTATTGGCCTCTCTTTATTTTGGTGCTTAACATTTAATACTAAATTAGAGACATTATTTCTATCTTTTGTAATGCACACTTTCACAGTTATCATCAAACCAGTTGGAATCGTGGTTGGAAATTCCTAGAGACTGCTAATACGGTGCTAAATTTCTTTTCATTAGTTCCATTCATTAGCTTCATAACTGAATATATTAACTAGACCTCACACATATATTAATCCATAACTTATTAATGTCAGAATAAAATTCAATTGTCACAGTTTTAAATACATGACTTGATTACTGAATGAAATGAACTGTTATTTAAGGATTAAAATATAAATTGTGACTGTTGGATGTTGCCCCTGATATTTTTTTCAGGCAAATAAAAATAAAAACATTTTTACAACGGTTGTACACAGAGACAGTGATTTCAGAATGGAAAACAGTTTGAGGGCAATTTGTAATGTACAGGGGAAAAAGGCCCTCTTGTTATAGCAGTATAAAATTTCCCAAGATTCTTAGAATAAATGCTTCTTAAAGTACTTGTGTGAAACTTGATCTACTTAATAAAATTAAATCTACATTTCTCCTCTTTAGATACCTAGGGCTAAGTGAGAACTGATTTATATTTAGAATGAGTTATAATATGACAAAATACCAAATTGAGTTTCTAACAGTCCTAACATGTAGTTACTATCCAAGTATTGTTGTCTGCTGTCTAAGTTTTGACTGAGCAGTTGAAGTACCAATACATCACCTGCAGGAGCTTGCCTGTCTGCTGACAAGAGGCAACACCAAGAGAGCAGCTGTTAGTAGAGGTGAGGCACAAAAGTGGCAAAATGATTTAATCAGATGCCCAACAAAGAAAGACTACCATTTTCTTTAAATGTAAGGCTTATTCTTTTCTTAATTCTTAATATAATTTTACACAGACACAAACAAGAGGACCTCCCTAGAAGTGCAGTTAGAACGTTCTTCAGCCGCGTGATGGTCAAGTGAGGTGGGAGGAGAAAGGATACATACCTTTGCTTGTCCAGCCTTGGTGATGGCAGGAATATTAAACAACTGCCAGTATAAAAATGGAGCCCACTGAACAGGATCACTGCGATTGAGTCTCCTTCCTTCTCAATTACTTCAAGGATATCTCTATTCTTAAGGTTTCTTCCCCTAAGTCAAATTAGGCACAAGTTATGCATATGAACAATAATATATTTGTCACTTCATATTCACTCATCTAAATTTCACCATGAACTCTTTTCCATCATGAGAAAAATCAAAAATTACTTTCAGACTAAGTCTCTTCAAAAATCTGGCAAAAGAGCAGCATTTGAGCTTGCTTATTATTAAAACATGATAACAACATAGTAAAAGAGATTTTACAGTATAAGTCTTCACAAGACTAATTGCTTGATTTATCCTCCAGCAAATAGTTTTTCTTTATTATAATCATAAAACAACCAAATATTATCTAAGAAGATAAATAGTTGGAAATTAGTATTGCACTTTTTTCAATCTAATATCGTTATTTTTCTTCAGAAAAAAACCCCACTTATACATCTTTCATCTGGATGTTACCTAACGAATATCTTCTATTAGTTTAAGAGCAAAATCTCTCCAAATTAATCTAGAGATAAATAAAAATCAGTAAAACTCATTATTATAGAGGATTTTTGCCCCATATCTCCCCAGTACAACTAATGATTGATGACTTAGTGAAAATAGTGGTGAATTTAGATTTGATCTTACAAACAACTTGAGCTGAAAGAAATCAGTTAAATACAGATTCTGGTCTACTTATGAAGTTTTTATAAATTTTCTCCAGTGCTAAATATGACATGATTTTGAGGTCCATTA